CCCTAGCCGTACAGTGTGTTCTCCCTTCACAGTTATATAGGAAGCTAGAAATCAATTAAATGGAAAGCACTTAGATAATCACCCACCACTTTGAATTTCAGCATGTACGTATAGGAAAAGGAAACAATGAAAAAACCCCATGCGCCAAGAAGAAAAAGACAGTGAGTGTTAAAGTGCATTACCATTACCCTAAGTCCACCTCCCCATCAAATCACTTGAGGTAGAAGAAGGAGTCACCTTAGTTCCATTAATTGCCAAGCAGCCACTTCTTATTTTGATGCAAAATGATATGGACAGGTCCCACTGTGAAATCTGCATGTTGACACTACAACCACCCTGGTTAAAAGGAAGAGCTTCAACAGAAACCCACAGGAGACATGTCAACGATCACACCAACTTGCCCCTCAATCTCGAGGCACAGGAAGGCTATTATTGGTTCAGCCCTGGTCACCCCACCACCATTTGGGCCAATGGCCGAGGATCCTGCACTGCCAGTTGCTTATTGGCTGCTGACAGTGGAGGCTGGGAGCGCAGCTGCTCTCATTGGACGACCCCGTCACCCAGGCATAATTGCAGGGCAGGAAGCCTTTTGTTTCAGAAGGGAAAGATGGTAAGCTACTAAGGCACAGAATCAGATAATTTTGAATGAAGTAAAATAGACCTTTTATTTTATTTAATTTTATTTATTTACTTATTTATCTATCTATTTATTTATTTATTTTTATTTTATTTTGTTACATTAATCACCTAAAGTAAGCCTTTCACAATGTCGGGAGATTGAATAGGTAATGATTCATGATACGTTGAGTTTTCTGCACGGTGTTTGGGTCCCCTTTTATGTATTTAACTGAATTAGAATGTGGGGGATACGTTGAGTGAACGTGAATGGGGTAAGTGTGAGTTTTGTATCTGCTACAGTGCTTCACTTGCTGTATCAACACACTCGGAAATTTTCTATAGGATCCTATTCGACACAAATGGGAGAAGGAGAATACAAAAGGCAAGTAAAATTGTTGTGGACGCAGCTGTGACCGTAAAGAGTCGCGGAGATGCTGACCTGAAGGACTGGGCCTCTTAGGAATGTGATGAAATGTGACATGGTCAAGGAAAATCATAACTGACTGCATCACACACATATATTAAAGTGGTCTTGCTCACGGTAAAGGTGTTTTAAGAACGGGCAGGGGCGCCTGGGTGGCTCAGTTGGTTAAGCGACTGCCTTTGGCTCAGGACATGATCCCGGAGTCCTGGGATAGAGTCCCCCATCGGGCTCCCTGCTCCGCAAGGAGCCTGCTTTTCCCTCTGACCATCCCCCCTCTCATGCACTCTCTGTCCCTCATTCTCACTCTCTCAATAAATAAATAAATCTGCAAAAAAAAAAGAACAGGCAGAATGGCACAGGTCCAACGCTAGACTAGATGGGTCTCTGGACAGTTACAGGTCTCTTGTGCCAAGTGAGGTGGCTCTGAAAAGAGCCTTTGGTTTGTGAGGTGGTCTGGCGGTCCGGAGGCAGGTCATTTGCATCTGTAGAACCTGATGACGGCCTTGATAGCCTCGGATAAGGCGTGCTTGCCAATCTCCCCTGGCAGCACTAGGCGCACAGCTGTCTGGATAACCCTGGTGGTGATGGTGGAGCGCTTGGTGAAGCGGGCAAGGCGAGAGGCCTCCTCGGCGATACGCTCGAAGATGTCCTTGATGAACGAATCCATGATGCTCACGGCCTCCTGCGAGAGGCTCAGGCCCTCGTGAACATGCTTCAGAACCCTGGCGAAGTAGGTGGCGAAACTGTCGGGGCAGGGGCGGGGGCGGCGGCAGACAAGGCGGTGACAGCCGCGGCCACGGCGGCGGCCTCCACGCCTGGGCTGCTTCTGCTTCGGGCTCATCGGGTCTGCTGCTGTGGGCTCCTCGGTGCTGAGGCTTTCCTCAGAAGAGGTCTCACAGCCAGGTTCAGCCATGTGGGGCTCACCTTCCCGACAGCTCAGAAGGAAGGGCACTGGCTGCGGCTTGAGCAGCGAGGGCCCATTTATAGTCGCTGCATTTCCTGACGTCACCGGCAAGTCCTATCCGATTGGACAGCATGCAAAGCTAAGAAGCAGGTCACTGAGCCAGGTCTTGTCAGATCTGACTGCTTGCCCTCGAGCTTGACGTCTCTTCAGTTTGAGTCGGAATCAGGCATCCTATAATTTTCTTCTGACGGCCACTAGAAAAATGTTCAAACATTCCATGTAAAGGTGTAGTTTCCTCC